TATCTGTGATCGTGTGCTTTGATCGTGCTGTCTCTACCATCGACAATAAAACATGTCTTCTGTCTGAATGAAAGACGCGATCCCAGGCATGTCATCCTCTTCAGGTGGTGGAGGATGCGGGCCTTGTCTGTAACATCTAGAGAACAGAAGACTTTTTTTTTTTTATACAAAAAGTGTGTTTTTTTTTAAAGCCAAAACTGAGAAACCTCAAGAGAATGCATCTGGACCAGCACACTTGGACAATCTGCACAGCCCCTGGTTCCAGTCAGGCTGTGAGCTGCTGAGACATGGATAATACCATCGTCCTCTTTTGCATGGACATCATTTGGAACAATTGGATTACACAATTTGGACATGATTTGGAACAATCTGGATTTCTGAATTTGGACATAATTTGGACTGAATTGGATTGCTGAATCTGGACACTGAAGCTGAAACGTGTGATTGAAAGACACATCACAGCTCATGATGAGAACCTTCTATTAAATCTGACTTGTGTGTGTATTATTTTGATCTGTATGTTTTTAAAATGTGAAGCGCTTTGTGATCCTGGACAGTCAAAGGCTCTATATAAATACACTTTACGCAACAGGGATGTGTGACCCATCTATTGCTGTGGCAGGCTCTGCGCTGCGTAATTACGCACGGCTATCTGTATTCCTCATTCACATCTAAAGCAATGTGTTATTTCATTAGATTTGTGTAACCCTCACACAGACACACACCCCAATAACGCATCGATGTTATTGCTCACTCACAAATGTCTCACTGCCCTGTCCAGAGTGCGCAGCGAGTGCCGTGAGAGGTCCCGCCACATGTGCAGAAGTTTTGGCTCCAGAGTTTCTTTGTGAAATCTGGACCGCAAACACTCTCTGAAGTGTACAGCGCCTCAATGCGCACTTCTACCCCGAGCCAGGCTGCGTCCAAGGCGCTGCAGACGCTTCATTCATGAGAGCCACTGCTGCATAATATATATGAATTCATTCATTCAATCAATCTATATTTATTCACTTCTACAATTCAAGAGAGATTTTTTCTAATGTATCAAAACATTTTAGCAAATTTGTTCAAAACGCAGCTGAATATATAGAGTATATTTATTATTACATAAACATGAACAAACAAACGTCCCTTTTGAGGCTTCCAAACAGTCTTTTAGGCCGGCTTCCTGCTGACCTGTCACGAAGACGGGGTGTGAAACACGCGATTGCTGCATAATTCTAGGTGTGACTTTCATAAATATTTTCGTATTCAGCCGATTTATCAACACCCGCAGCTGCGTACGCTCAGATCTGGGCGGATCTCACATGTTCATAAATCCGACGTTGGATTTTGCGTAAATGGAATATACACCCAAAATGTACACCTTTTTCTACGCAAGTTTCATAAATGAGCTTGTGTGTATGTGCGCGCGTGTGTGCGTGTGCGTGCGTGTGTGCGTTTGAACCATATTCTTTGAAACCCCAATTCCAGCTACCCCTTGTAGTTTGCAAGCGAATTTGGCCTACTTACTAATCTGCAGGCCTACCCAAAATTGCAAACCTGGCGCCGCTACTGGTAGGTACATTAGGGCCTCACAGCAGAGGCCTAAAGCAGGGGCCTCATTACTTTAATACTTACAGTCTGTGGTAAATACACGGGCTACAGGTGTTACACGTGCTTAGACTATATTAATATTGTATGTGTAACATTCAAAATAGATTGAGTGAATATTCCCTTTTCCTCATTTAGTGATTTGCGGAGGAGAGAGCAGCGAGAGGAGTTTGGCAGGGGAGGAGCCGTGTGGAGTTAAAATAAATGAATTACAGCTTGCTAAATTATTTGAAAGCATCTTCATTATGATTGTTATATTTATGTATTTATTATAAATGTTAGAGATGCCAGAGAAAAGGCGTCTGCTTTTTTTCTGAGTGGGAGGAGACACCAGCGGAGCTGTTTGAGTCAGATAACGTTCAGCGTTATATTACCAATAGTTTCTCTTTCCATAACGATATTCTCTCTTTTTGGAAAGATCACCAACGTGATGCAAAAGTTTACGTTATATGCAGTAGTTTTAATGTCTGCGGGTTATTCCAGAGACTGGCCTGCTACAAGGAGTTGCCCGTTTTAACCAGATTGTCGATGTGCGCGGGGCAGAAACTCATAGGCGACAGATATAATCAATCCGATGTACAGTACGCTAGGCTTAAAGCCACAGATAGTTGTCCGGTGAAGAGAGAAGAAAGAGCGTTGAGACGCCAATGTAACCCTGCTCACAAGTGCCACCTGGTGGTTGTTTTGGTCATTGCAGCGTCACTGGGGGGAAGGAAAATAAAAGACGCGTGAATCACACGTGAGTCTCGTGTGATTCACGCGTGAAAGGCGACAAAACGAAATGGGACCTACTGTATAGCACAAAAACACAAAAGTAGATATTTAGATATTGAGAAGTTTAAAAAGCTGTCGATTTGTCAGCACAGATTAGAGAATCAAACACCATTGTAGAATAACTGACCCCAAACCTGCTGAAATAGATTAGCTCTTGTAAGGATAGTTCTAATTTGATTACTGATGTACATTCATCCCAAACTGCCTGACAATAATATCTTTAGATAATAAAAATAAATAAATCACTGACCACTATAGAAGTGTAAATATTAACCATTTGTCTTACTGTGTTCACAGTTTTATTCCTGAGAAGGTAGAATAGTTCCACACAGAGCAACATCCCACTAACAATATGTCACTGATAATGAAAGTAAACCACAGAGAGATTTATTAGATTAAAATATAGGTTTAAGAATATGGCTGAATAAAAATATGCAAACATATTTGTAAATAGATTAGAATAGTTTGAAACTATAGTGAATAGTAAAAGTAAAGTACACAGTCTAAGATTAAAACAGTGTAAACAGTCAGCATTAGAATAAAAGTATAAAGCTAGAAAAGTTAAATAAGCTTCTAATTTAAGATTCACTTCTTTTTTGTCTGTGTTTTGACTGAATCTGCGGAGTTCTTCTGTGTCCAATAGGGTTTTTGTTTCCTTTTTTTTTGTTTTGTTTATATTTTTGTTTTCTTTTTCTTTTTCTTTTTTTGTCTTTGTTTTGTTTTTGTTTTTTTCCCCCCAGTATAGAGGATAAAATCCACTGATAGATGATTATAAGTTTAATGCATACATTTTTATTGTTTATTTAAAGTTTTTTTTTTTTAGTTTTTTGGGGATTTTTTAAGTTTTTTTTTTTGAGTGGTCACATGTGATTATGTGATCAAAGGGGAGAGTGTGAGGATTAGATAGCGATTTGGCCTACGTGCAGGACAAGCACAAGACGAGACGAGACAAGATGGTGTATCCTTGTTATGACTATGATGTGACTGTCTCTGTGTGACACATATGTCTTTCCATGTGTGACGTGACAATGACTATATAAACTGTGTACTGCCTTTATTCTGTCTGAGAGAAAGAAACATCTGAAACCACTGGAACTTGAGAGAAAGTAAAATAAACTTCCAGAGTTTGGCGCACCACGATCCGTCTCTGTCTGGTTCATTCCTGACATTAGTATAGAGGTATTGTTCATTTATCTTGTGCTGTGTGCTCCTCATTCCTACTGCTGATGCACCAACATATTAATCTTATGTTGTCTACACATTAGAGTTGGTGAATCTATTTGAAAAAAAGGCCTCTTACCTTGGATTGTTAAAAATGTGCTTGTAAAAATCACAGGTCTGTTGTTGAGCTGTTCCCCACAGAAGTACAGACCAAAGTCGTCCATCTCCACGGTCCTGACGGTCAAATAAACCTGTGAATCGTTTAATTCCATCCAATATTTCTCCCGTTTATTTGTCTCTGTGGCGTTGAAAGTAACCTTGCCGTTTGCGTCAACCATTGAACAGATCAGACTCGTGTTGCGTTGATTTGCGTGGAACCAAAATATCCGTCGACTTGGTTCCAGGTTTGAGGGTTTGGTGCAGTCGAGAGTCACGTCAGAACCAAGTGGGACCTCCACGACCGAGAACTAGCCGTTTGTGAGCAAGACAAGGCCTGGGACGTAGAAATTATTAAATTATTACAAAACTATCTGAGACTATTTCATCCTGCCTGTTCCATGCATAGTTGGTCTACGGTGTGGTCATTGCTGAATTGGTCTTAATTTTAAAACAACAGGATACTAAAACAACATAATATAATATAATATAAACAAGGACAATTAATGTACAGGTGAAACTTTGAAAATTGGGAGAGTATAGAATCAAATATTTTTACTGTCGAGCAAAGGTGAAAATTCATCTTTGATCTATGTCACATAAAAACACATTTAAGAGAAAATTAAAGAAATAAAGTATGCAACCAGCGATGACCACAAAATGTAGACCAACCAACTGAATGAGGCCGGAAATAAAGGTCAATGATAAACCTGAGAAGATGAAAGAGAAAACGTCTGCGTCAGAATGGACTCAAATCAGATTAAATACTTACAAAAGGCGACAGGTACAATCTGGTGAAGAGTCATCGTGGAAATGAAGTCTCTTGAGTATAGGCAGCGATTGGAGATAATCCCGCTGATGCTCATGTGTGGCAGGTTTATAGACAGAGAGAGAGAGAGCGAGAGAAAGAGAAAGAGAGAGAGAGGGGGAAAGAGAAAGAGAGCGATAGAGAGAGCAGGAGGAGTCATAATAACCACAGAAACGGTATTAGACCCCGTGTCACTGTTGTCTGCTGCATCTGAACTCTTAGTTGTTTCAAGGACTGTTAAGTTCTGTTCTGCACTTGTATAACACTGTATTGAGACGATTATCTATTTAAAATTCATGACTTTAGTCAAACCAACAATGGGCAACTTTTTTGTGTACTTAAAATGTATGTATTTAGAGTTATGTGTTTCCTAAAGGTCTTCAACAGCAGGTCCACAATGTGTCTGGACCCGAGATCCTCCAGACGTTAGAGCACAGGAGAATCTGGGCACTGAGAATGAACCAGTATTTCCTTTTCTGCGCCTCCATTTTCATCCATTTTATCCCCTTCATCTATTTCTGGGTCTGATCCTGCAGGTGGTCCTCTTTGATCCTCCTGCAGGTGGTCCTCTCTGATCCTCCTGCAGGTGGTCCTCTTTGATCCTCCTGCAGGTGCTCCTCTTTGATCCTCCTGCAGGTGGTCCTCTCTGATCCTCCTGCAGGTGGTCCTCTTTGATCCCCTGCAGGTGGTCCTCTCTGATCCTCCTGCAGGTGGTCCTCTTTGATCCTCCTGCAGGTGGTCCTCTTTGATCCTCCTGTAGGTGGTCGTCTTTGATCCTCCTGCAGATGGTCCTCTTTGATCCTCCTGCAGGTGGTCCTCTCTGATCCTCCTGCAGGTGGTCCTCTTTGATCCTCCTGCAGGTGGTCCTCTTTGCTCCTCCTGCAGGTGGTCCTCTTTGATCCTCCTGCAGGTGGTCCTCTTTGATCCTCCTGCAGGTGGTCCTCTTTGATCCCCCTGCAGGTGGTCCTCTCTGATCCTCCTGCAGGTGGTCCTCTTTGATCCTCCTGCAGGTGGTCCTCTTTGATCCTCCTGTAGGTGGTCCTCTTTGATCCTCCTGCAGATGGTCCTCTTTGATCCTCCTGCAGGTGGTCCTCTCTGATCCTCCTGCAGGTGGTCCTCTTTGATCCTCCTGCAGGTGGTCCTCTTTGATCCCCCTGCAGGTGGTCCTCTCTGATCCTCCTGCAGGTGGTCCTCTTTGATCCTCCTGCAGGTGGTCCTCTTTGATCCTCCTGTAGGTGGTCGTCTTTGATCCTCCTGCAGATGGTCCTCTTTGATCCTCCTGCAGGTGGTCCTCTCTGATCCTCCTGCAGGTGGTCCTCTTTGATCCTCCTGCAGGTGGTCCTCTTTGCTCCTCCTGCAGGTGGTCCTCTTTGATCCTCCTGCAGGTGGTCCTCTTTGATCCTCCTGCAGGTGGTCCTCTTTGATCCTCCTGCAGGTGGTCCTCTTTGCTCCTCCTGCAGGTGTTCCTCTGTGATCCAGGTGGTCCTCTTTGATCCTCCTGCAGGTGGTCCTCTGTGATCCAGGTGGTCCTCTTTGATCCTCCTGCAGGTGTTCCTCTGTGATCCAGGTGGTCCTCTTTGATCCTCCTGCAGGTGGTCCTCTGTGATCCAGGTGGTCCTCTTTGATCCTCCTGCAGGTGTTCCTCTGTGATCCAGGTGGTCCTCTTTGATCCTCCTGCAGGTGGTCCTCTTTGATCCTCCTCCTGTGTGTTCAGTGTTCATTGTTTACTGGTCGAGGTCCCATCGTCAAGCCTTGATACAGGCGATGGGACAGCAGGTGAATAGCAATGATCATTAAGACTACAGTAGAACCTGAACCAAAACCTATACCTTACCATATTCCTCCAGCAGGGGGCTCCATTTGCAACGTCACTGACAATCTGTGTGTTTTGACATCAAGTTGTAGTTCTAAGTCAGTCTTGTGGAACTATTGTGTTTCCCATTTTGTAAAAAACGCCACATATAGTAGAACTTTACATTAACATGAACCAGTCCGGCCCTCGGCAAATGTGTTTTTTTTGGCCTCTGATGTATTTAACTTTGACCTCCCTCAACAACAACAACAAAAAAATAGAAAAGTACTGAGCCTGGGCCTTCCTTCCTGACCTCTCTGGTGTCTCCTTGGACCTCCTTCCTGACCTCTCTGGTGTCTTCTTGGCCTTCCTTCCTGACCTCTCTGGTGTCTCCTTGGACCTCCTTTCTGACTTCTCTGGTGTTTTCTTGGACCTCCTTCCTGACCTCTCTGGTGTCTTCTTGGACTTCCTTCCTGACCTCTGGTGTCTCCTGACCTCTGGTGTCCCTCTGGTGTCTCCTTTCTGACCTCACTGGGGCCTCACACACAGAGCTATAATAATGGTGAACCTTCATCATCATTGGAAACGTCTCAAAGCAACAGTTGTTTATTACTTGTTTCTGAAACTTTAGTAAGACAATTCAAAATTAAATCTTAATGTTTGTGGTTGTAAACATGACACTCTCACACACACACACACACACACACACACACACATACATACATTCATTCACACAAATAGACACACACGTGGATACGCACATAGATCCTCCTGCAGGTGGTCCTCTCTGATCCTCCTGCAGGTGGTCCTCTTTGATCCCCCTGCAGGTGGTCCTCTCTGATCCTCCTGCAGGTGGTCCTCTTTGATCCTCCTGCAGGTGGTCCTCTTTGATCCTCCTGTAGGTGGTCGTCTTTGATCCTCCTGCAGATGGTCCTCTTTGATCCTCCTGCAGGTGGTCCTCTCTGATCCTCCTGCAGGTGGTCCTCTTTGATCCTCCTGCAGGTGGTCCTCTTTGCTCCTCCTGCAGGTGGTCCTCTTTGATCCTCCTGCAGGTGGTCCTCTTTGATCCTCCTGCAGGTGGTCCTCTTTGATCCCCCTGCAGGTGGTCCTCTCTGATCCTCCTGCAGGTGGTCCTCTTTGATCCTCCTGCAGGTGGTCCTCTTTGATCCTCCTGTAGGTGGTCCTCTTTGATCCTCCTGCAGATGGTCCTCTTTGATCCTCCTGCAGGTGGTCCTCTCTGATCCTCCTGCAGGTGGTCCTCTTTGATCCTCCTGCAGGTGGTCCTCTTTGATCCCCCTGCAGGTGGTCCTCTCTGATCCTCCTGCAGGTGGTCCTCTTTGATCCTCCTGCAGGTGGTCCTCTTTGATCCTCCTGTAGGTGGTCGTCTTTGATCCTCCTGCAGATGGTCCTCTTTGATCCTCCTGCAGGTGGTCCTCTCTGATCCTCCTGCAGGTGGTCCTCTTTGATCCTCCTGCAGGTGGTCCTCTTTGCTCCTCCTGCAGGTGGTCCTCTTTGATCCTCCTGCAGGTGGTCCTCTTTGATCCTCCTGCAGGTGGTCCTCTTTGATCCTCCTGCAGGTGGTCCTCTTTGCTCCTCCTGCAGGTGTTCCTCTGTGATCCAGGTGGTCCTCTTTGATCCTCCTGCAGGTGGTCCTCTGTGATCCAGGTGGTCCTCTTTGATCCTCCTGCAGGTGTTCCTCTGTGATCCAGGTGGTCCTCTTTGATCCTCCTGCAGGTGGTCCTCTTTGATCCTCCTCCTGTGTGTTCAGTGTTCATTGTTTACTGGTCGAGGTCCCATCGTCAAGCCTTGATACAGGCGATGGGACAGCAGGTGAATAGCAATGATCATTAAGACTACAGTAGAACCTGAACCAAAACCTATACCTTACCATATTCCTCCAGCAGGGGGCTCCATTTGCAACGTCACTGACAATCTGTGTGTTTTGACATCAAGTTGTAGTTCTAAGTCAGTCTTGTGGAACTATTGTGTTTCCCATTTTGTAAAAAACGCCACATATAGTAGAACTTTACATTAACATGAACCAGTCCGGCCCTCGGCAAATGTGTTTTTTTTGGCCTCTGATGTATTTAACTTTGACCTCCCTCAACAACAACAACAAAAAAATAGAAAAGTACTGAGCCTGGGCCTTCCTTCCTGACCTCTCTGGTGTCTCCTTGGACCTCCTTCCTGACCTCTCTGGTGTCTTCTTGGCCTTCCTTCCTGACCTCTCTGGTGTCTCCTTGGACCTCCTTTCTGACTTCTCTGGTGTTTTCTTGGACCTCCTTCCTGAACTCTCTGGTGTCTTCTTGGACTTCCTTCCTGACCTCTGGTGTCTCCTGACCTCTGGTGTCCCTCTGGTGTCTCCTTTCTGACCTCACTGGGGCCTCACACACAGAGCTATAATAATGGTGAACCTTCATCATCATTGGAAACGTCTCAAAGCAACAGTTGTTTATTACTTGTTTCTGAAACTTTAGTAAGACAATTCAAAATTAAATCTTAATGTTTGTGGTTGTAAACATGACACTCTCACACACACACACACACACACACACACACACACACACACACATACATACATTCATTCACACAAATAGACACACACGTGGATACGCACATAGATATCATTATTTGGACATATTTTATATATCCAGAAGGGCTGTCAAACGATTACAGTTTTTAGTTGATTAATCGCACAGAAAGGGTGAGTTAACTCACGATTAATCGCATTTTTAACATTCTATTTCAAATCCACTCCAATTGAAGTTAAATGAGATTATCAAATGTAATGGCACATTGTCATTCAGACCAAATGTACTTAAATCTGTTAGATTTGCTCAAAACCTCTTGCTTTTGGGCACAACCAAAATGAGCTGTTACTGAAAGGGGAAAATTGACGTACCCCAGCTTTAATTCAGCGAGTTTAGTTTAGTTTAGTTTCAGGAGGAGACACGGACACTTTCGCGGTGCATTTGCGTGCACAGGTTACGCACAGGTTGCAAAGACACGAACAAAACATGCAGACAATAGTTCTGTGGCGTGTTTGGTCTTATATGACCATGTTACCGCGGCGCCGCTCACAGCCGTGTTGTTGTTAGCGGCTCACAACCAGAGCGGACGTGGAGGAGGCGGACTTCAGTTAACTACAGCAAACAGCCCCGCGGACATACGCGTATTCTTTTAAAACTTGAATTCCCAGAAGGCCTACCTGCTCTGTTGTCATCTCACACACTGCATTCTGAGTGATATTATGGATAAACGGGCGGGTCATTCAGACATGCGTTAATTTCTTGAACCTGTTATTGAAAAATGTTATTAACGTGAGTTAACGCAATCATTTTGACAGCCCTAATATCCAGCAAAAAAATATTTTGTGTGTAGTTATGTGAAGCTATGTCTTTTCAAATAAACATGTTTTTAATCAATCACAATGTTTATTCCAGAAAATGTACAACACAAACATAATGACAGACCTTTGTACATGTTTTAAAAACGGGTTGGATGAACCGGACCCTAATACACTTCAAACCCAACACCGATCAAAATGGTTCAAAAACTATTAAAACACAAAAGTAGAAAAGTAACACAATTGCATATATGGTACAAGGTGTACAGGTGTGTGTCACCTATACACACAGGCCCAAACACTCTCTGACCCAACACCCCCTACCCCTATCACATCACCCCCATCCTCAAACATCTTCACTGGCTCCCTCTCCGAGTCTTCTGAACCCTGAGGACCGAGCCCTCTGAGCCCTGAGGATCTTCTGCACCCTGAGGACCTTCTGAACCCTGAGGACCTGAGGACCTTCTGAACCCGGAGGACCTTCTAAACCCTGAGAACCTTCTGAACCCGGAGGACGTTCTGAACCCGGAGGTCGTTCTGAACCCTGAGGACCTTCTGAACCCTGAGGACGTTCTGAACCCGGAGGACGTTCTGAACCCTGAGGACCTTCTGAACCCTGAGGACCTTCTGAACCCTGAGGACCTGAGGACCTTCTGAACCCGGAGGACCTTCTAAACCCTGAGAACCTTCTGAACCCGGAGGACGTTCTGAACCCTGAGGACCTTCTGAACCCTGAGGACGTTCTGAACCCGGAGGACGTTCTGAACCCTGAGAACCTTCTGAACCCTGAGAACCTTCTGAACCCTGAGGACGTTCTGAACCCGGAGGACCTTCTGAACCCTGAGGACCTTGTACAACCCTGAGGACCTTCTGAACCCTGAGGACCTTCTGAAACCTGAGGACCTTCTGAACCCTGAAGACCTTCTGAACCCTGAGGACTGAGTCTTCTGAACCTCAAGGACAGCTGAGTAAGCCTTTTGCTGCAGCTACCCCCACTCTCTATAAGATCTAGTATTGTAATTATTATTATGGCCTTATCAAACATCAAATACTTGAATGATGTAGGTTTTTAAAAATATTTTCTCACTAAATTCCTATGATCAGACTTAAGTTAGTACTAGAATTTACCATGCTGCTAGCCAGAAAATTTAACTAAAATATGTGTTTATAATATTTCGGGTGTTCATTTTGACATTTTAAGACAAATGTTGTGAGAAAAACGGCTTTGAAGTCGCAGTTTTTCACTTCCGCATATAAACGCTAGGGGGCGCCCGAATGCAGCGTATGACGTAGGAGAATGATCCTTCAGCATGGAATCTGTAGAAGCAGCGAGACCTGAGATGAATCTGGGGAAGAATCTGAGGTTTCACTGTCATCTGAACAAGGTATAAACATATCTTCATCAGTTTTGTACATATTTTAGTCTTATATGAACCTCAAGGACAGATGGATTTGGATTCAGAATGTCATTCACCCACGTCACACATCAGGGGCATGTTTTTTTTTTAACAGGTCATTTCCAATAAAATGTAATAATTTACACGTTTTTCTTTTTTTTCTGTTTTCTTTTTCCCAACATTTTTATATGGCTCTGACCTTACAAAAACTGCAATTGGTAAAAGAAAATTCTAGTTCTACTTTAAGCTGTAATTTATGTATATTTTATTAGTAATATAAATGATGAAAAAGATGAGAAGTCTCAATTGGAACAAGAAAAGAACCTTTCTACCAAAAACAGGTACTTCCAAATACATATAAAGACTTATTCAAAATCCAAATGTTTTTTTTGTCTTTCTTGAATCCCATTTGTATTAGAAAAGAACTTAGATCATTGCAGTCTTTGCGGTTTGCTAAATGTGATCCGGAAACTTAAATCTTGATGAATCGTTCTATTTGACGACGGTGTAGACGACGTGTGTGTGCTCCGGTGTGTTTGGACGCCTGCTCCTCAGAATTGTGGCCATGAACACACGAGCAGCCACCAGAGAGCCCTGATCAACACACACACCATATCAACCTCCACCTCACTTTCACACATGGTATTTTAGATTTCAAAACTAAAAGTCTTACCTCTGCTGTATCAGCCGTTTGGTCTTTGGCTGCTGCTAAAACATAATAAAGAAACACACTTTTTAGATTGGGTTATTCTGATCCATAATTGATATTTAAAACGTTACCTTTATGGAAGCGGAGGATTGTCACGCTCAGGCCGACAGTTATGACAATACACAGAGCAGTGACTCCGCCCAGAACGACAGGAACCACATGGTCAGTGGGACACCTGGTCTCAGTCTCTGTGAGGCAGAGAGCAGTCAGTATACAGTGTTTAAAGTCTCACAGTCCAATCCCACGACAGCTGCAGCAAACGCAACCCCTATTCTGGAACTGCCTTCCTGAAAATGTGAGACAGGCCTCTTCTCTGACTATGATTAAATCCAGGTCAAAGACAGTTCTGTTTAGCTGTGCACACAACTGAGGGATTTTATATTTGATATTTTCATCTTTCTTTTCAATGTACTGTGATTATTTGTGATTTTAATGCTATCTTTTGTTCAGCACTTGTTGCCTTGTGTATGAATTGTGCTTTACAAATAAACCTGCATGGCCTTGCCCTCTCTGGTATTAACCACCCAACAGTAAGAACCAGCAAGAAGTTAGACAATGGGGAGGGGCCTCAGCTGTCAATCAAGACCACAGTATGCCTAATGTGTTCACAACATTTTACTTTCACTACACTCTTTCTGATCCCCAAAAAAGGAGGGTAACTTTGAATATGGATCAGGACTGTCAAAGTGCTTTTCAAAAGGCTGGTGCGGCTGCAGGATATTCCAACCGGAGCAGATTCCAATCATTTCCTCAAATCTTAAAACTGGACTCACCCGAGGAAATGGGTGGAGCTTGTTGTGGTCCTCCTCAGGTTGGATCTAAAACCCGGAGCAATAGCGGCTCTTTCTGGACCTGATTTGACACCCCTGATATAACAACGGTGAATTTCCACCAGTCATCAATGGTACTTTGTGTTCGCTAATTGTGTCAAGAGGTTCATTGTTGATTAGAAAAGCCTTGCGGGATTACAAATCTGAGATGTGGTGGGAAACATGCAGTTGTGGTGACACCAAATCTTAACACAGCAGTGTTTCACAGAAGATGAGGCTCACCCGTGTTGTTGCCGACCGGACGATCCTCACCTTCGACAAACAACATTTCAGCATCACTTACAAGAAATCACAATCGTCTGCTGTAGCTACATATTTGCTTTTATCGACACAATCAGATGCTCAGCCTGTTGGTTTCTCCAAACCAAGTCTACTCACTGGTTACATTGAGGTACATCATGTTTTCAAAAACTGACTTGAACTTAATGTAGAATCTACAGCTGTACCGACTGGAGTCAGAGAGCTTAACTTCCTGGATTCTCAGAAACACTTCACAAAATGAGGGATTTCTGTTAGATCCAAAAATTCACCCTATGCAGCGAGGTTTAGTTCCATTCTCAAGTAGAAACCAATTCACTAGAGATTCGTCTTTGGAGGAGTTTTAGCATGACAAAGTAACAGTCTCTCATTGCCAAACCTCCAATACATTATTCTGCAAAGTGGATCGAACACTGACATCTGCAAATGACAAAGACAATCACTAAAAGCTGTGAAGAGTTGGACATAAAAGCAATTCAATCTGAAGAGACCAAAGACACAATTAATACAATAAAATTATTTATTTGTTTGGCGCGTTGACCCCGGCAGTGACACTTGCAGCTATGAGATCGATTGCAGCTGAAGATGATCTCAGATCCCCCGGGGTCAATCACTGGTGGTGGCTAGAGCATGGTGTGAATGGGGCGTAGGCGGAGCCGGAGTGGGAGCCTAGAGCGGGAGCCAGAGCGGGAGCCAGAAGCCAGAGGGGGTGGGTGTTTAAGAGCCTCAGGAAGCGTTGTTTGTCAGGAAGTGGCTGCCTTTTAAACTGCCCGCTTTGCTCTGAGAGGGTTGGCAGGAGGCTGGCCTGGCTGTGTGATTGGCTGAGGCTCGAGGCTGGCAGAGCTGTGTGATTGGCTGAGGCTCGAGGCTGGCAGGCACTCGG